TTTGAATTTCAGTTGCTGACTCAGAGTGACTTGCGAAGATAACCATTTGTGTGCGTGATGTACTCTCCCCAGATAACCACATGTAGCCCCTCGCCCTGTTTGAGATTAACATGTGTGCATTGACATAATTCATTGATAGCCACCTGAACTGCTGCGGGTACGAAACAGGCTTTAAAAATGGATCCTGGCCAGTCAACAGTGCTCGCCTGTTGAGACAGCCACAAAGGCACGTCCGTTTGTCAGTCTGGCAAGCGATGCAGCCCCACGCTCCGCTTCCTGCCAGAGGACAGAAGGACAGCTAGTACCTCCTGATCGAGACGCACCGAGCTCTCAGGTGAGGAATGCCGGCCCCCTGCGTCTGCACGGGACCAGCCTAGCTGCCGGACCCCCGAGATCCCATCAAGCCTGTACCCGCAGCATCAGGAACTTTTGTGAGTAATAAAATGCTGTGTGATTTGCAACTGCATAGGTGTCATGCTGTACGATTCCTCCGGCAGTTAGTTGGATGTTTTGCATACGCTTAAAACTGAACTCAAAGCTTCTGGTCTTTTCGGTCCTAGGCCTGCCCTTGGTCCAGCTTGCGGAGAGCAGCCTCTTTGCCAGCAACTACTTGAATGTCTCAACACCTGCACGGTTCAAGTTTATTTCCAGGGACGCCTTGGATGAACCCCCAGACCCTTTCCCGGGATCTACTTGGGACACAAAGAGACAACAGATTAGCCTTCCTAGTTGCTGAGAAAACAGCTGCCCCTGCCCCGCGCGCCAGCCTTTGTGAAGAAGCTGCTCTTAGAAACGAGGCTGAACAAGGGGCCCAAGCACACGCCGAGAGCACCGGCCACCAGCACAGCGGCACTGGCACCGAGGCAGCCGCAGGGGCCGCCAGGGTGCGAGCCGCCCGCAGCCTGGGCGGCAGGAAGGGGCGCAGCACACGGCAATGTCAGTGTCGCTTATTAAAGCGATAGTAAGTGACCAAGCGCTGAAACACAGCGACCGGCGGGCCCAGGGCAGGGCAGGGCTCACGGCGCCTGGAACCCTCCCCAACAGGCCAGATGCCGAGCAGGTCTGGACAAAGCGCGAAATCACAGAGCGCCCTGAGCGAGGGCAATTACGGGAGAAACACTAACAGGAGGTGCTGCAGGGTCCCCAGGCCTCGGGGAGGTAAGCAACACGCCCCGGACTAACCCAGGGGCCAGACAGGAAAACAATGGATATTACAAAAAATACTTTGAACGGGAGAATAATGGCAATAAACATTGAAACTTGGGAGAAGTAGCTCATGTGCTTCGGCGGGAACTGTGGTTTTAAACGCATGGCTCAGAAAGTAAGAGGTTGAAAATCAACAATCTGAGCTCCCGTCTCACAAACCGAAGCACACACAGCGGGGGCACGGTAAGCCCAAGGAAAGCGCAAAGAAGAATGAGATCAAGAGCAGAAATCAGTGCGCTTGAGAACAGACGCGCAATAGAGAAAATGACGAAGCCACGTTAGGTGACTGAAAGATGAATGAAATTGATGATCCCATTCAGACGGGTCAAGGAAGAAATAACCCCCACATTTTTCATCCCAATATCAGAAATACAGAGGGGCCATTACCGCAGGTCCCAATGATATTTCAAGTGTTATAATAAGACTAGAGGCCCAGTGCACGGATTCATGCACCGGTGGGGTCCCTCGGCCTGGCCTGCACCCTCTCGCAATCCAGGACCCCTCGGAGGATGTCAGAGAGCTGGTTTCAGCCCAATCCCCACAGGCCAGGCCAAGGGACCCCATTGGTGCATGATCGGGGCCAGGGAGGGACCACAGGAGGTCTCCAGGGTGTGTCCAGCCTGTCTCGCCCAGTCCCGATTGGCTGGACCCCAGCAGCAACCTACCCTACCAGTCGGAGTGTCTGCCCCCTGTGGTCAGGGCACGTCATAGCAACTGGTCGAACAGTCCAATGAATGGTCACTTCGCATATTGGGCTTTTATTATATAGGACATTATGAACAACCTTTATGCCAATAAAAGTGACACCCTGGATAAGTGGGCACCTCCTCTAAAAACCACAATTTAGCAAAACTACCACAAGAAGAAATGGAAAATCCCAAGAACCCTATACCGTTAAAAATCAATCTGTAAGTTAAAATGTTCTCGCAAAGAAAACTTCAGTCTTAGGTGGCTTCATGGGTAATTTTGCAAACATTCAAGGACAAAATAATACCAATTTCATACAAACTCTAATGAAGAACACCTCCCAACTTATCTTACGAGGCCAGCAAAACCCTGATATTAAAAGTTGACAAGGACATTACAATATCAGATATTCACAGGCTTATACCTCTCATAAATAAGGATGGAAAATCTTAACCGAAACTCTAGTAAATCTAATACAGAGATATAGTAAAAGGATACTACTTCATCACCAAGCAGAGTTTACTCCAGAAATGCAAGGTTGGTTTGACATTTGAAAACCAAGCAGTGTAATTTGACATAATAACAAAATGGAGAAGAAAAAAAAAATATGACCATGCCCATGGACGCAGAAAACATTTGATAAAATTCTTGTTCATGACAGAAAACTATCCGTCAATTGAGAATAAAAAGAAGATCTTGGAAGACTTCTGGGGAGTTGCCAAGAGACCGTTCCTCACTCTCTTCGCTGTCCATCAAGGAGGCTGCCCATTGCTGAAGCCATCGGACACCCCGTTCCTCGCCAGGCCTGGGTTCTGATGAGCTCTGAGACTTTTAAAAAATATATATTTTTATTGATTTCAGAGAGCAAAAGAGAGGGAGAGAGAGAGAGAGAGAAACATCGATGAGAGAGAACCACTGATTGGCTGCCTCCTACATGCCCCCTTCCTCCCCCCCCCCCCCCCACACACACACAGGGGATGGAGCCCGCAACCCTGGCATGTGCCCTGACCAGGAATCAAACCGCGACCTCCTGGTTAATAGGTCAACGCTCAACCATTGAGCCACACTGCCTCGCCCCCTCTGGTGTGGCCCAGACCAAAAAGCTGCTGGAGTGTGGGACGGCTCCTCGCCACAGGTGGCCTGTCCTCGTGCTGGGTCATGGGTCCCCTTTGTTTTGCTCTCACTGGCTCCGGCGGCTGCTCTCCCTTGCACTGTCTAATCCCAGAAGGGCTCACTGTTTCCACCGCCGGTTCCGTGGGGCCTGGGCCTCCCTGGCCTCGCGCTCGCCAGTGCTCACAATGGGAAGCAGCTCATTCGTATTCCAGGAGCGAAGGGGCTGAGGGAGCTGGGTGCCTGCTGGTCCCTGCACCCCGCGCAGCGCCTGTCCCTCTGACAGCCTGGCCCTGGCTGCGGTGGCCTGTGGTCCTCTCCGCCTATTTAGCCCCCGGGTGCCACGTTACCATCTCCGTCTGTTGTTTGGCTGCAGCCGATCATCCGGCTGAGACTCGACAGCCAGAACATCCAAGTCAGACCTTAGGAGTTGGTCCCGCTCAGCAGGACACCCGCCCGGGCAGTTCCGAGGAGGGGCGGTCATCACTGTCCTGCTCAGGCCACCTTCTCCCCGGGGGAGGGGCGTGCTGAGCACCAGGGGGCTCTGGAGTCTCGCTCCCCTGCGCTGACGGGGGAGGGGGCTGGGTGACCGGCACCCTGCTAGGAGCTTTCGTGGGTAGCGTGGTGTCCTGTTCCCGCCTCAGTCTCAGAGAGGTTTAGCAACTTGCCCACGTCACACAGCATGTCAGTGGCAGAGCCGGGCCGTCTGGCTCCACAGTCTGAGCTCTTCCCCGACCCAATCGGGCTGTTGTTAGGGTCCCTGCCCAGCCACAGAGTGGCCACGGTCCCCTCCGGCTCGGGAGACACCCTGAGACCCCCGGAGGCAGGCACCAGTCAGCAGGGGCCCGGCCTTGCTGGCCTTCGATAAAGCTGGCTCCCAGGCCCCCGCAGACAGCAGGGAGTGCGCCCAGGGCCTGGCCAGAGGAAGCCTTCAGCAGCCACAGTTATAGGGCGCGGTCACCCTCCCGCCTTCCTCTCCAGAGAGAGCCGGCCCCTCTCTCTCCTCAGCGCCCCTCCCCCACCGGCTGACAAGCAAAATTGCGGCTGATGATATAATATGACTAATAACGGGGAAGCAGCGTGAATGTCCTGAGGCCAGAGATAAAATAAACCGGTGATGACAGTCGCAGGGGCTGCTGAAAGATACATTTACGGGGTCCTCTCCAGCGCGCCTGTGGGCCGGCGGAGGGAGGTGGGCTGTGGGGGGTGGGGGGGTCCCTGCTGCCCCGCAGATGCCCCTCTGCTCGGGGACAGCGGGCGGGCGTGGGGATGCGCGGTGGCGAGTCAGCACGTGCAGGACGGGGGCCCCTTGGAGAGGCCCAAACGCCGTTCCCGGTGGAGGAGGGACAGGAAACCAAACGGGAAGCCACTACCTGACCCTCCACCAAGAAAGAGAGCAGAGACGCCAGGGCTGGCAGTTTCCAGTGTCCACTTCAGGGGACGTCTTTTTTCAGTTTTTTAAAAAATATTTCTTTATTGACGTCAGAGAGGAAGGGAGAGGGAGAGAGAAACATCAATGATGAGAGAGAATCGGGGATCGGCTACCTCCTGCACGCTCACACTGGGGGCCGCAACGCGGAACTGTGCCCTGCCCGGAATGGAACTGTGACCTCCTGGTTCATAGGTTGGCGCTCAACCACTGAGCCACACGGCCAGGCAGGAGTGTCTTTTCTTTTGCCACCTGTACGAAGACTCCATGGGTGCTGGGCGGTTCCATCTGCGAGCTCTGCCCCTTTCTTGGGTCACGCACTCACCTGCCTCTCCCTGGGCACAGGAGGCACCAAACCAGCCTTACCTCCAGCTGCGAGGGAAGGCCGCAGCCCTACGTCCTGAGGAGCTGGCATCGGCCTCCCGTGGTATAACACCCAGAGAGGTCGGCAGGAGAGCCACAGGCCCACCTAATGCACTTTCTCATGTTACCCTAGGTTGGCATTCGCTGCCAAATTCTTGTGGCACAAAAGAAAAAAGAAGCCCCCCATTTTTCCTCCCACAGAACCAAAGAAGTCTGGCGAGTGGAAAATGCCCGGAACCCTCACTGGACCAACGATGTAGCAACGGCGCTCTTCTCGTTCACCCCAAACACTGACATCACCGACAGTAAGTTGCCATGGGCGCAGGCCAGCGTGGGTTCCCAGGGCCCCCCAGCGACTGCATTCTCTGCTGCCATCTGGGCTTGGGGCTGCCAGCTCAGGTTCCCCAGGCAACGGGAGATGCTGCTGGAAGGAAGGGCGGAGGCGCAGGAAAAGCCGTCTCCTGGGGTGCTGCCTGTCTGGGGGGGGGGGGGGACAGCGTGGAAAGAGATCTGTGGTGCAGATGCAGCCTGTCGTGCTCTGGTCTCTAGAGCAAGAATGAAGGCCCTGCTGTGTGCACAGCCGTCGCGGGAGAGAGGAAAGGTGGTCAGGATGGGAATCTGAGCGTGTCTTCAGCATCTCCCTGACTCTGCCCACAAGAAAGGTGGGAGGGGCGCTGGCCTCTTAGCAGGGATCCCGGCTGCTGGCTATTCTAAGCGTGACCGGAATCATGGACCTGTGAAGGCGCAGGAACTGGGCAAGGCGGCCAGGCCTGGGACTCGGCCACGAGTGAGGGTCTGGGGCAGAAAACCCACTGTCAGGGTCAGGGTTGTGGGTGCTGCTATCAATACAGTTGGCTCTGCTAACGGCTTGCCTTTCCCATTATGGACGTTGGAACGTGGCCACCCCCCACAAAGGTCTGTGAGGGGGCGTTAGAGGGCCATCTTTGTTCTGGGACATGTCAATAGCTTCCGGTCCCACCCTCCGGGTGACCCCCTCTTCCTTGGCCCAGTTCATTGACCCCAGCCATTCCCCTTTCTCAGTGCCACGAGGGGCCCACCTCTCCCCTCTGCCCCCACCACACACCCCAGAGCCAGGGTTCCAGGGCACTCCAGGTCTGTGCAGAGGTGTGTGGGGAGAGAGGGGTGCTGGGAGGGTGATCCAGGCTTCCCTATGGCTGAGGCTCCTGCACCATACGCTGGGGCCCAGCTCACAGGCAGGTGGGCACAGCTGCCCATAGAGAGACCCCAGGCTTTGTCCCTGAACTTTCTGCAGAGGGAGAGGGAAAGCAAGAGGCAGGAGATGAGGTCTGCAGGCCCTGGTCCCAGGTGATAACTCCACTGCCCCTTTCACACCACCTGGACGACCCCTCCACTCAATTCCCCCAGCACCAGCGGCTGCTCTGCCTGGACGTGGAGAGCAGGGTGGGGAGGGGCCCTGGAGCTCTGTGCCCGACAGAGGAGGCAGCGGAGGCCACAGTTGTGCTCACGGTGGTAGGATGGGGGTAAAGAATCACGTTCGTTAAGGGCCATTTCCCCGCCCCTCGAACCCAAACCACTGGGTGCAACGGAGCCGGGGCCCATGCAGGGCACACCTGCTCTAGGTAACAGCCTTCTGAGCGATGCTGAGTGATGGCCTGGCCCCCGAAGGCGCAGAGCCCCCTGGAGGGGCTGCAGTGGCTCCCAGCAGCTCGGCGGGGCTCCTGGGCTGGGCTTGGGGGCATCAGATTCTGGAGAGACCGCACAGCAACATGGACCATGGTGGGGAGCAAGTGGAGGCTGGCTTTCCAGAAGGGTCTCCAAAGCCCAAAGGGGGAGTGGCGAAGCCCCAAGGAACACCCTCTGACTCCCCACCCTCAAGGGGATGAGACATGTTCCCTCCACCACCCGGCAGGGCCTTGGACTTGACCCAGCAGAGCAGATGGCCGCAGCCTGGATCCCGGCTCTCAGGCCAAGCTGCTCCTGTGGTCAGACTGGGCACAGAAGACCCTCCCGGGGTTCCTCTGGGCCAGGCCTAGGCACAGAGGCCAGCCTGGCGATGCCCAGGGGGTGGGCGGCAGGCTCCCCGGGCCTAACCACCACCTTCTCTGGCGAGTTACCCGCACGCAATTGATTAAGCAATTACCGAGGCGGGTGGGGAACACATCAAGTTGCCAGGAGAGGCGCGGGATGAGCGTCTCCAGCCGCAGGAGGAACATTCCTCTGTTTCGGAACCCCGCCTGGCCCTGCCCTGCCCTGCCCTGGCCGGCGGGAAGGCAGCACCCGGCCGTGGGGAGCCCGGCTCAGACGCCCACTTGTCATTTCTAAAACCTAAATCGTAGTTGCAGGGGTACCCGTCATGCAAGGGCTTTGTAGCACTATTATCGCTTCTCCCCGCAGAGTCCACGGTATTTACACAACATGGCAACATGGAATTGGAAGGGGAGACGGTGGTCCTTGGGTCAGGTCAAAGGTCAGAGGTCAGGGCTCCTGGTTTTTGCCAACCCCAGTTAAGTGCACAGAGGAACCTGGGGAGGGGGGCCAGGGCTTCAGGCTGGTGTGGGGCAGAAGTCTGGCCAATCCTGGTTTGGTGAATATGGAAAAGAGGGTGGGTGAGGGTGGGTTTAGGTTAGATCTTATGCCTGGAGACTCTAGAGCAGTGTCCCCAACCTTTTCATGGCCACGCCCCCCCCCAAGCATCTCTAACATCCTGACACCCCTCTGCCCCCGCCGTGACCTAGAATTCTTATTATTCAAAAAGTGACCCCTATGCACGTGGAGGAAGCCTGAAAAGCCATTCACTTGGTCTAAACAAGCTTCCAAAGAACATGGCACCCATGAGAGAGAAAAATAAAAGAATGAAAGGACAGTTGAAGGACTGAGGAAGAAATCACTAAGAAATTGTTAAAATAATCATATGAAGTGATATGAAAAAATAGCAAATAAAGTTTTAGAACATATAATAGAGAACTGAAATGCACAAATGTCAAAATACATATTTATAGGCTGTATATGAGGCCCCTAAAACCATATGAAATGCAAAAACTCACTGTTAATAACTCACTCTCGAATTGCCCCCCTTAAAAATCAAATTGCCCCCCTGTGGCGTGTGCCCACGCTGGGAACCTCTGGCCTAGACTATCTGAGGTCTTGAGAGACCAAGAAGCCCCCAGGAGCCCTCGGACCTTCTTCCACTCCCAGCACCAGAGCCACCCCCGCTGCCACACTGATACCAGTCACTGAGCAGCTGACAGCCGGTGTCTGTGAGCGGTGGGTCCGACCGTCCGTCCGCCGCGCGTATAAATTAGTCAGCGTGCGCGGCCATAACAATACCAGGGACTGGGTCCCCTTTTTTACTCATTGTAATTCTTTCAACTTTGCTGTTTGAAAATTTTCATAAAAAAATATTAGGAAGGAAAAAAAAATGCAACATGATTTCCAGGGTTTTCCCACCTGAACTGACTTGAGAACCTCAGTGCAGCGCAGAACAGCTGGCTGACGGCCTTGGTCCTAGGTGGAGGGCCGGGGTTGCCGCTCCATTTTGCAGATGCATAAACCGAGGCCGGGCAGACGGCAGTGACTCACCTGCTAGCGCAGCCGCGACGATGGCCCCACTGCCTCGCGGACTCCCGAATCAGGCGGGGCCGCAGCTCGGCTCCCTCTCCTCCCCTCGGCTTGGGCACCTGGCAACCCCCTGGCAGCTCCCGGGCTCACACCTCCCGCCCCCAGACATTCCCACGCCCCAGCGCCCTCCCTCAGGAAGGGCTGATTGGTCAGTTAGGTCACGTGCCCCCCCGAGGGCCAATCCACGGCAGGAGTCTTGGCTCTGCCCACCAATGGCAGCTCCCGCCCTAACACCTGTTGAGCGTGGGAAGCGTCTGTGTTCCCGCCCGCCCCACTGAGGCGTCGGAAGGAGGAAGCTTCCAGAAAACTCCATCTCCAAGGGCCTGGGCCCCAGACGTGCCTCCCAAGCTGCAGGTGGGGAACTGGAGCCCATGTGGCCTCCCCATTCCCTACCCTCACCCGGAGGCCCCACCCCTTCCCTGCAAAACCCCAGTCCGGCATGGCTGGCATGGAGAGCTGCTCAGGTGTCCCCTGGGCCTCCGGTCCCAGGAACTGGCTCCGGGCTGTCCGGCCGCACTGGTTTCCCCTCCCTCCAGGCCCCGGCGGGCCCTGTGCCCGGCTGGCCCAGGCCTGGCTCTGATGGACGAGGGCCCCACACGAGTGGCCGCAGAAACGTTTCCGAAGGTGGTGAGGGACCACGCTCCGTGCAGGCTTCCATGACACCAGCCAGAAATCCCGAGGCTGGAGGCGGCCAGACTGCTGGGATGGGCCGGGCACAGGAGGAGGGAGGCCCTGGGGGGCGAATGGGACACGGAGCAGGTGGGCTAAGCTCAGGGCCGGTTGGGGTGGGAACGAAGGGCTGGGTGCTGAATCCCTGGGGGGCAGAGTGGGCCTCAGGGGTAGGGTGCTCTGATCCAGCGCCCCTGGCTGAGGGTGGTGTTGGGACACCCCATACATCCAGCCTGTCCACCTCTCGCCTGGCACAGGGTTTGGAGTCTGATCATCGGAATTTGAATTCCATCTTTGTCTCTAAAAAGTTCTGCGACTTTGGGCAGTCAAGTTCCTCCCGCTGAGCCCAGCCTGCTCATCTCTGATTGGGCAGGGCCATGCCCACCTCGCTGGGTCGCCAGGAGGAATAAATGAAGGACCACCTGCCAGTGGCCAGGACCTGGGCGCACTGCTGGAGAGAATGGTCATTGCTCCCAGCAGGTCCCCGAGGGGCACTCAGAAGCTTGAACGCCGGGAGTCCTAGCGGGGCTGGACGTGGGCATGGACTGTGGGCCTGAGCCACGCTCCTCAGAGGGTGGCCATGGTACCGGAAATGGTGTAGGTGGGAAGCTTTTCCAATACACACACCAGGCCCCGCCCCAGAACCTTGGCAGGCAGGAGGTTCTTGGAGAAGGCCAGGGGGGACCCCCCCAGGCCCTTTGCTAGTGGGAGCCCCCTTTTTGACAGACTCCCATGCACGGGCCATCAGGAGAGTCCCAAAGCTGTTTATTTTCCCACCTGTGGTCAGAGAAGAGGGTGCAGGGAGCAGAGAAAACCCTGCCGTTCCCCTGGTGAACATACCGGGGCCACACACGGAGTTTCTCTGTTGCAACAGAACCGCGGTTTACCTCCCCCGGGTCCCGTGAAGCACAGTGCCGCGCTGCTTCTGGGCGGGGCCTGCCAGACCTGCTAGTCTACAGCAGCGTGACCGTGGAATGGGGCACGCTGATTGGCCAAAAAGTACCAAATGTCAACTTCCATACAATGAGGGCAAAAACGGGTCTTTTCTTGGCATTCTGAGTAGTTGCCCCCCTGAAAAGTGTCTCTCTTTCCTTGATCCTTAGCCATGCCCAGCCCACAGGGAGAGTAAAGGCAGCGACATGGAACATTTGCATTAAAAAATAAGCAAGGTTTTCAACCAAACAGTTAATTGCATTCATTATTTCAACACCAAAATACGCCAGGTAGATGTCAGCCCACCCTGACGAACAAATACATAAAATCAAGAAATGTCTGGGCGGTATAAACAGGGGCAGGGCACAGTCGCTGGCAGCAATGACTTGGCCTGGAGGTGCAGACGTGGCTGTGCCGCGGACCAGCCCTCAGAACCAGTACTCGGAGACGAAGATGTGGACATTGACGATATTTCGGTGGTTCACCACGCCCCCGAGCACGTAGTTCATCTCCAGCTTCAGGACCGCGTGGAACGGGCCCACGATGGGCCGCACCTGGCGCACCACCCCTGGGGAGAGAGAAGGTGTTTTGGAAGTTAGCAGGGGCTGTGGGCACATGGAAGTCTGGGAAAGGATTTTCTCTTGAGGATTTTGAGAACTTGAAGGGGCTCGAGACCTCCTCTCATCCCACCCTGAGCCAGATGCTGAGGCCCCTGCACAGCATCTTCCCCAAGTGGTCCCCCCGGGCTCTGCTTCCACCTCCGGGGACGAGTGAAGTGAGCTCAACAGCCTTTCCATCGTGCGCAGCTCGGACTGTGAGGGGAGTCAGATGGCTCTGGGGCCACGCCAGCTCCTGCTCTCTCCCAGCCCAGGTTCCTCCTCTACCCCTCTCCCCTAGAAAAGGGCCTGGCATGAGGTAGATGCCCAGTAGATACCTGCCCCCTCCCTCCTGCCCACTGTGCCCAGTCCGGACCCTCAGGAAGAAACAAAGCAGGAGGAATCTCTTCCCCGCCATATCGAGGACTCCTGTGGGGACCTGGGATCCCCTTATCCAAGCACAGAGTCCCACCTCCCCATGGGACAAACCCCCAAATCCCTCACTCTCCACGTCTCTGTGGACGGTGACACCTGAGCTCATTGCAAGAGGTGGGAAGCAGAGGTTCAGAGGGGGTCCAGCCCGAGCAGCAGAGATGGGCAGGGCCATCAGGAGGACAGGGGACGATGGAGGGAGGACAGATGACAGGGGAGACAGGTGACGGAAGGGAGGCAGGGATCAGGTCCCGGGAAGCAGAACCTGCTGTGACGCTGCTGGGGGTGGCAGGGAGCAGGCAGAGGCCATGACCGGTGCCTCCCCTGCCGGGGCTGAGAGCGCGGGTGCAGGTGGGAGTGGGAGAAACCCCCGTGCCCTGCAGACGCGCAGGGGAGCAAGACTGGGTGGCAGGAGTGGATCCCATGACTCTCCCCAAACCTGTGCCTGCTCGGCCAGCCCTGTGTCTCCAGGCCAGGCCCTGCCCGCCCCACCTCACCTGTGCCCACAGGCAGGAACCCTGTGCCTCTGGACGGTCAATCCAGACCTCTGTCTGCCCCTCCCCTCCCCTCCCCACAGCGTCTCCCAGGGTGTGAGCCCAGGCGTGTGGGCACCGTCCCTCCCCAGCCCCAGCAGCTGTGCTCCGTGATAGACAACCATGGACCCTCTCGCAGCCAACGAGGACCTGGGTAGGCACCGCGCTGCCACGCTGTACACCACCCAGGGGGGGCAGAGGCGGGAACAGAGGGGAGGGGCGGGGGCAGGAAAGGCTGCCTGGAGGAGGTGCCCTCCCTGCAGAGGGGGCAGCGGAGCGGAGCCCACAGGCTGGTCCAGTGCCGGGTGCAGCGCAGGTGCCCACAGCTGTGACATTTAGGCATGGACCATCTCAGGCCCCTTTTCCGTCGATGATGCTCCAGGTGGGACCTGCCCGAGTCACGCGGGGAGGGTGGGACTGCGGGACCATTTCCGTGGCTGGTTTTAAGCTCCCAACGGAGTCACCGCAGGTGGCGGGAGCGAGCTGGGAGCTGGGGCTCCCAGGCCACCACGGGCGGAGCCAGACGGCCCACGCCCAGCCCCACCGAGCAGCACGTGGGCCCGGCCTGGCATCGCCCGGCCCTGGTGCCTGCCAGGCACACGGCAGAGCTGGGCAGACTGCAGGGTGGGAAGCCCGGGGCGGGAACACCAAGTTCAAGCTCGGAGGGGAACCTGGGAACGCCCCCCTCACTCCCTGGGCTAAGGTTTCGAAGGGAAATGCCCGCAGCCCGGGTGGAATTCCAGGCTGTTCTGAGCAGACGGGCTCTGGCTCCGATGGAGAGGGCACGGCTGCTGTGCTGTCAGCCCCTCTCCCCGCCCTGCCCGGCAGCTCCGTCCTGCGTGGACCCCCACCAGCACCTTCCACTCCCGGCAGAGACGGGGCTTGGCACCGCCCTCGCTGTGCAGTGGCCCCTGCTGACTGGGCCTCACCCATTGCCCCTGGGCACAGTCTGGCATGGGCTCCCCATGGCCCCTTGTGGGGCAGTCCATGCTCCCCTGCCCCTGTGTCCCCATCAGCACCACCTTCTCCCTCCCCAGGTCTCAGCCCACACGGTGCCCACCTGCCTCGGTGCCTCGGTTACCCCTGACTTCACTCAGCTCAGGGGCAGAAATGGTGTTACCATGACTCCAGGCTCAGAGGCGGAGGGACCTTAAAGGAAAGAGGGGCAGCTGGGGGAGCCCAAGAACTGTTCTAGGTACGTATTTCTATGTTATTATTATTTTTAATGTGCTGTGTAATTATCATGTAAAGATATAGTATACTCATAAATATAAAATATATACAGCTATATAAAATTTATACTTGTATACAAATAATGCTTTGTTATAAATATACTAGAGGCTCGTGCACCGGTGGGGTCCCTCGGCCTGGCCTGTGCCCTCTCGCACTCCGGGACTCCTCAGGGGATGTTGGAGAGCTAGTTTCAGCCCGACCCCCACAGGCCAGCCCTAGGAACCCCACCAGTGCCCAAATCCATGCACCAGGCCTCTAGTATGCATATAAAATCTTTGGTTAATCTATTCCCACCCTCCACCCTCCCCCTTTCCCTCTGAGATTCATCAGTCTGTTCCAAGTTTCCATGCCTGTGCGTTGAGCATCTGCCCCCTGGTGGTCAGTGTGCATCATAGCTACTGGTTGAATGGTCAAACAGTCGAACGGTCACTTAGGCTTTTATATATATAGATAATGTATTTTGCCTGGCCAGAGTGGCTCAGTGGTTGAGTGTCAATCTATAAAGGTCACAGTTCGATTCCTAGTCAGGGCACATGCCCAGGTTGCAGGCTTGATCCCCAGTGTGGGGCGTGCAGGAGGCAGCTGATCAGTGATTCTTTCTCATCGTTGATATTTCTATCTCTCTCTCCCTCTCCCTCTCTCTCTGAAATCAATAAAAATATATAATGTATTTTAATTTTATATAAATTTTTATATGTACCTGTATATTTTGTTTATATAAATTTATATTAATATATAAGATATATAGCATATATTATATAAGACATAGTATAAATTTATATATAAAATATAAATATCACAATAGAAAATGATTATGTTACTCCCACAGATTTAAATAAACATTCCTCGCTCCTGCGGGGGCTGTAATGGTCTCAACAGGCAGACCCACATGCCTCTGGGCATGGCTGAGTGCCGGCACTGGGCTCCGTGAGAAGGGAAGTGACAGCTGCCCTTGCTGGGCTCATCCGGGGGCAGAGGGAAGAGAAAGCCTCGGGCAGGGAGCGCGCCTGGAGGACGGGCCCCGCAGTCCCAGCCCCAGCCTACGCCCTCCCGGGTCTCAGCCTCCTCTTCTGTGAAGCAGGGGTTCAAGGCAGCAACCTTCAAATCACACACACACACACACACACACACACACACACACACACACCATGACCGCCGCCTGCCAGGGCCTCCCAGTGTCTGCAGGGGACCTGGTTCAGTCCAGTGCGGCCACCTACTCGGCTGCAGAGCGAGCTGGGCCCCTGGGTTGACATGTTACGAGAAAATGTGCAGACGAGGTTGTAGTAAACGCCTCATACTAGGGCGCTGCCCAGGGTTAGGGTCTGAGGGTGCAGGCAGTTCTGGGAACAGGGTCAATCCCGGGAGAGACGGCAGAGGAGGCTGAGGAGGTGGTAGAAGGCTGCTCGGTGCCTCACCCCTCAAGGGAACCAGGACCCTAGCAGGCAGCTTCCTGGCCGCTGTCCCCCCCCCCCCCCCCCCCGGTTCCAGGCCGGTCTCTTCCAGAACCTCCCAGGTTGGCCTCTCCCAGAACCATCGCCAGCCCTCCTCGTGCAGGAAACAGGAGGGGGGCGAGGGTGGGGGCAGAGCACGCATGGCCCATCAGGGGCTGTGCACACATCAGGAATCCCCACCGGGTCCCCACCCACCCACCTGACTCCACAGACAGGAGGTGGGCACCTGCCACGCGCCAGGCCCTGGCCCTGTGACCTGGTCCGTGAAGCCTCCCAGTCCCACCTTGTGTCCCCTGGCGCCTGGCCCCCCTCAGCTGTGACCCCCATCTGCCCCCTGAGGGAACTTTCACAGCGGGCTCCTGCTTCAGGGCAGGGTCTGCCCCGCGCTCATCTCTGTCCCTGTCCCCAGCCCGGGCGGCAGGACACATAGGAGAGGCCATGACAGCGGGGGGGTGAAGGCAGAGGAAGAGGAAAGAGGAGGGAAGGAAGATGAGAGAGAAAGGGGAGGAAGGAGAGAGGCGAGACAAGGCATCAGGCGTGGAGCCCCCACTCCAGGCGGGAAGATGGGACTTTGTCCCGAAGGCCTGGGGAGCCACGGCGGCTCTGATGAGGCAGCTTTTCCTGGGATGGCAGCTGTAGGGAGAGGGCCTGTCCGCATGCCTGCCTCGTCCCCCCGGCTGCCAGAGCCCCAGGAAAGAGGAAAAAGAAAAAAAGAAAAAGGCCGTGGTGCCGAGTTCAACCGTGTTCATCCTCCAGCCCTCGTCCTGGCATTTCTGCTTCGGGTCTCAGACTCGCTGGGATTCCTCGGCGTGTCTGTGCCTCTAAAGATATAATTAAGCCTTTTTTTCCCTTTGAAAAATGTAGGCCCCTCGGGCACTTCACCTTCTTGTCTGTCTCTGCTTGGAAAATTGCAGCTGATGCGCGGGGGACCCGGGAGCCTGCACAGGAGTCCTGGGTCCAGTGGGGGACGTTGTTGCCTCTGGGTCCGTGGCCTGGGTCCTGGGCCCAGAAGCCACCCCCACGCTCCTGCCGCCGGGGCTGCACGTGGCCGTCCGTGAGGTGCTAAGATCAGCCCCGGGCCCTCTGGGACGAGGGCCACTGACCCAAGCCTGGGTCACAGCCGGGGCTCCTCTGTCGCTCCCTTCCTGACCCCCCCGCGTGGCTGGGCACGTCACCGTTCATTCTGAAGTTCAGCCTCCAACTGGGAAGGGCCGGGATTCTGACTGGGAACGTGTACCGGTGTGAACAGAGGTGTCCGTGTTTTAACAAAGAAGGCGGTGGGCGACTCAGGAGGCCGCGTGCACCTCCTGCCAGGGAGACTCCCTGAGCTTCTCAGAGGCTGAGATTGGCATTAGAACAGGCAGGGGTGAGGTGAGGAAACCACACGCTGGCATCATAAAAAGAATTGGAAACCGCCGCCACCTGAGAACCGGCACCAGCCATTTGTTTTCTTGGTTACCACCCCTCTCCCCGCCGTGTAAGGCCAGGGGCCAACAGCTCTGCCTCTACTGGTCACTCTTGAATTTCTGATTTTGGCACATAGTAGGTCCTTGGTCCTACTACGTACCTGACACATAGGAGTCACTCGACCAGCAGCTGTTGAGTGAATGAATGAACTCAAGATCTAAGCATAAAGCGAAGCTGATAAGGTTGAAACTCATCCCCGGAAATGAGCGTGTTGGTGAAGAACGGACCCCAGCTGAGCGTCACTGGGTTTTCCGGGATCGACGCCCAGAGGGAGAGGCCACGCACGAGAGGCAGCCTGAGGGCGGGCCTCGGTGGCTGCCAGGCAGAGCCCCAGCAGGGAGGAAGGTGGAGTGCGGGCCTGTGGACAAGGCGCTGGAATAGGGGACCCGGGAGCTCCGAGGAGACCCACGTGGTCTCGCCAGACTCCGACAGGAGGGCCAGCCGGGAAGTAGCAGAGCACCGCGCGATCTGGCCGACGGGCCTTGAGAGAGAGGGACCCGCAGGCTCGGGTGACCGCACAGACCCAGGCGGAGGGAAGCCAGGAACGCGGAGAATGGCTGCCAGCACTCACAAGGCGCAACCCTCGAGGACGGATGGGTGAGGCAGGGGCACCGCAGGGGACGGAGGGGAGTCGCTGGTCCTGTGTGCCCCCTGCCACGGGAGGCGGGGAGGCTCTGAGAGCCAATGGCCGGACCTCGCAGCTGCCGGGCACCGAAGGGCCTGACACCAGAGCCCGCTTCCACCCACTGCACCTCCTCCCTCCTCTCGGGGCGGCATGATGTGGGGAAACTTCCAGAACACACTGCCCTTGGCGGGGTCATAGATACAGGGCAAGCGCGGCAGAAGGCTGCTGGAGTGACCACATCAGCAACTGGCAGGGAAGGGGCCGTGCGCCCAGCACACAGCAGGCAGGGCAGGCAGGGCAGCGTCGGGGCGCATCCTTAAAACACCAGCTGTCCTGCAGCGCGTCCCGGCAGAACCGTCCCGGCAGAGCCTTCCCGGCAGAACCTTCCCAGCAGAACCTTCCCAGCAGAACTGTCCCGGCAGAACCTTCCCGGCAGAACCGTCCCGGCAGAACCGTCCCGGCAGAACCTTCCCGGCAGAACCATCCCGGCAGAACCGTCCCAGCAGAACCTTCCCGGCAGAACCGTCCCGGCAGAACCTTCCCGGCAGAACCGTCCCAGCAGAACCTTCCCGGCAGAACCGTCCCAGCAGAACCTTCCCGGCAGAACCGTCCGGCAGAGCCGTCCCAGCTCTCATTCTTTATAAATGTGCTCCCTGCACGCGTCTCCCGAGAGCCCAGCCACACCGGGAGCGGGAGCCAGCCCGGCGCCCACGGCCCCTTGCGCAGGAGAGAAAGCGTCAGCCTCGCAGGAACCCGCCTCCTCCCACGGCACCAGCGGCGGCTCCTTCCCTCCGCTCTCCACCTCAGCCCTCAGCGCAGGCCCAGGACCCCAGGCTGGTGGCAGCGTGGGCGTGGGTGCTGAGCGCCAGGGAGGCGATGCCTGGGCCTCTGCCCGCCACCAGCCCCACGGCCTCCCGGGGGAGACGGCCTGGGCCGCGTCTGGAAGGAGACGCGCCTGATGCACCTGCTTGATTCTCCCGACGTGACCCAACGGTGGCTGGGTGGCTGCCGGGAGGAGGAGTCCTTTCTCCCCCTCCGTCTCCCCTGCCTGCGCCAGCCCCTCCACCCCGCTCCTCCTGCCCCAGGCCCAACCTCATCACCCACTCAGTCCCTCCAGATGCCCCATGTGGGCAACTCGCACCCCAGTCACCCTCTCCCCGAGACACAGGCCCTCCCGGCCCGAGAGCTGGGAGCACCCTCCACGGCCGGGGCTTCCAGCCTCACGTGCAGTCACCCTGAGGCTGCTGATTCCATGTCAGAGCGCCTAGGACAGGGATGGCGAACCTTCTGAGCTCGGCGTGTCAGCATTTTGAAAAACCCTAACTTCACTCTGGTGCCGTGTCACATACAGAAATTTTTTGATCTTTGCAACCATAGTAAAACAAAGACTTATATTTTTGATATTTATTTTATATATTTAAATGCCATTTAACAAAAAAAATCAACCAAAAAAATGAGTTCGCGTGTCACCTCTGACACGTGTGTCATAGGCTCGCCATCACTGGCCTACCCCCTGCCTCCTGTTAGGCCTCACGGACTCTGCCTGAAGGCTTACGCCACTCC